ACACACACACACACACACACACACACACACACACACCCTCCCGTTTCCTAATGGAAACACCAGCTTGATGTAAGGGGAGGGGACCTGAATGAGAGCATCCAAGGAAATTGTCCCGGACAGGGAAGAGCCCGGGCTGGGTCTCTTTGGCCTGCAGTGGAGTATGGCTGAGAAGAAAAGCTGTGTTCAAGTATTTGCACACAGTGCAAAACAGAAATAAACTTGAATGCATTCAGGAGCTGGAACCAGGACAAAGGGTGGAAGGGAGAAGAAGGCAGACCTTAAAAAGTTCTCTAGTAGAACTTTCCAATTTACGGCGTCCAACATCATACTGTAAAGATGTTTATTGCAGTAGCCGCAATAATGGTTTCTATCAGGGTGACTGTAAAAGAGATTGCTGACACAATTAGATGATGTTTAGTAAACCATATTTCTTCCTGGGTCAAAAGATGGCTGAAGTGGGGAAACCACTGTGGGCACAGGATGGAGTCACCTTAGTATGCCCCAGGTGACCACTAGTTGAATCCCTTCCCTGGTTTCTCCTTCCTCCGGCTGAAGTCCTGTGTCCATCAGCTGCCTGCTCACCTCTGTAGAACCCACCCTGTTCCTGGATGAAAAGGTCAGAGACTTTCAAACTAGGACATGCATCTGAGTTACCCAGGGATCTTAGAAAGTGCGGATATGATTCAGGCAAAGTGGGAAAAGGGTTTTAGAGTCTGCACTTCAGCCAGCTCCCCGGTGGTGCTGATGCTGCTGGTCCATGGACTTCACTTTGACTAGCAAGGCTGTCAAGTCTAGATCAGCGCCATTCACTAGAACATTTTGTGATGATAAAAATGACCTCTGTGTTGTCCTACATGGTAGTGAAGGGGAGGAAAAATTTTACCTCTACCCTTTTAGAGTTCTTTGGCTGGGCCTGAGAATTAAATTGACATTAGACAGATCAACAAGAATGGTAGACAATGGAGACTCAGAAGGATGAGGGAAGCAGGTAGGTGACGAGAAATTACTTAATGGGTAAGATGTACTTACTGCCCTAACAGTCTTGACTTCATTATTATGCAACCTATGCATGTAACAAAATTACACTTGTACTCTATAGATGTATACAAAAAAAGACAGATCAACAGGAGAAAAGCATACAAATATATTTAATACAAGTTTATGTGGCCCAGGAACCTTCATAAGGAATCAAGATCCTATGATACAGTTAGAGATGAGCACTAGTACTGAATTAGACAAAGAGCAGTAAATTATGAAAATGTGAGGAGGTGAAGGGGCTTGGGCTAAGGTCGCTAATTGGCTGGAGAAGTGGCTTGGAGGAAAAGTGTTTGTCTAACAGGATTTCTTTGTACAAATTTCCCTCAGCTTCCCCATCCCATCCCTGATAGGAATGTTAGTTTCCGTCTGGTATAGGGACAACATCTTTCATATGGGAATTTTATCTCCTGCCTTTAAGAAACAGAAGGTTAGAGGAATCATTTTGCACCTGCTGTTTTTCAAGTGCCTTTAACGCAAAATAGTCAATATGTCAGGGTGGCATATTTTAAATGTTTTTCAGTAGCTAGGCCATGTGTGGCTATAGAACACTTAAAATGTGACTACAGTGACCATGGAATAGAATCTCTTCATTTTATTTGCTTAATTACATCTAAAAGGAAATAACCATGTGTGGCTAGTCGTTGTCAAACTGGGCTGCACAGGGCATTAAGTCAGTGTCTGAGCATCTGACCAGCCTAGCAAGGTTCCACTCTGGCCACCTCTGGTCTTGCCCTCATACTGCACTTGCTGCGTTCGTGGATCTCAGTGGTGGTAAAGTGCCCAAGGGTGACATTCCACATCAGAGACAAGTCTGAGGCACTGTATAATGCATAGGCAGATTCATCTAAGTCATGCTCTTATAACACTAACAACAGCAGAAGTGTGTTGATGTCATGGGCATGTACAATCAGAAGGTCATGAAACTGACTGTCTGCAGACGACTCTCAGAGTTCCTCTCTTATACCTGTGTGCTGTCTGGGTCAATCACCAGTGTTTCTTTAGTAAGAGAATCCTAAGCTATTTTGTAAGGATAAGTCTTACTCATGGTATCTTTAGGTTGCATCTGTGCTGAGCTGGTCACAGCTCTTTGGAAATCCCCAGCTAGGGTTGTCTCATACTCTTAAAAGACACATAGTGACAACCTTGTAAGATGTTTTATTAGATCTTTTAGCTACCATTAATAGCCATCATGTGTCCTAGAGTATACTCCAGCACACCAGTTCTGAATGAATGAATGGTAGCACTCTCAATTATTTAATTCTCAATATTGAATTTAAGTCTCAGTTGCAGTAACCAGGTCTTGGCAACTGTCCTGTGCCTCACTTACTGCTTTGACCTTGGATTTCTAGAGCTGTGGCTTGCTCTTGCTCTGAACAGTTCTCCTACCATAGACTCCTGCCACTTCTGACACAGTTTCTACAACTGCTAAGCTCAACTACTTTCTGGTGAACATCTCTGAGGACCTGATCTGCACATCCAATCCTATGCAAACCCAAGGACTACCAGGCTCTGTCCTCCACCTGGTTCTGCTGTCACTCTGTCCCATCCCACTGCTGCTCAACTGCCCAGCTATTCAGTGATCCCTTCTCCTAATACCCCGTCCTCTCCCTGTCCACCATCTAGGTATGCACAAATTCTAGTTAAACACATCAGCTTCCATAAAATTGTGTCAGTTCTACCTTCCAGAGAGCACATTGTCAAAATCTATACACCTACCATTGGCTGGCCAAAGTTTCTGCACCTCAGGTTTTTACTAAAGAGGTTCCTAACCCAGAACTCCTAGTTGCTCAGCTGTTATTAAAAATTCAGTTACAAGAAAAAAAACATATGGAGCACCTCCTGAAGGCTATGCAGTCCACTCTTTTTTTCTAACCTGTGCACTCGATCAGACCAGTTCACCAAAGATCTGCAAACTGGGACCATAATACATTGTGTGAACCATGAAAGAAGCCAGGCTGCTTATTTGAGGTTCAAATCTTTTGGAAACATCATTTTTATTTTACTCGGACTGCCTGCAAGGAAAACATTAAACCCAGGGTCTGATTTTTTTCTTTTCCATTTGTTTAAATAACAGAAAAGTCAACTCAATTTATATAATGATAGGACTAATTAATATGAGACAGTAGGAGTTTATTCACATATTCAAGAAACTTACAACAAACATATCACAGATTACATGGATGTAGCATTGTATGTATTTGCAGATTGAAAGTTACATTCTAGTAACTCTGCAGTTAGTGCAGACAATGTCCCAGAGAGAACTTTTATTTAAAAGCTCAAAAAGTTTCTTGATGTTTTATTAGGGAACATGATCAACAGAATTTGTGTAAATCTAAACTTAAATACAATCTATTCCCCACTCATAGTTATTTTTGGTCCCTGGAACGCCAATGTCACTAGAATGCAAATGTTTTCCAACTTTTTTCCCTTATCTCACTGAATATTGCAGATATTTGACATAAGAACCATAGAGACCTATAGTTTGTTTCTATTTTAACCAAGGTTAATTAATTTGGGCTTATAATTCCTATTTCCACAGATTCCTGACAGGATCACTTATTTGACATCATCTTTGACTAGAACATAAAATGTATCTGTGTAAAACCTAACATCATAGGAATTTTCACACACTGTCCAGCACAACTCTATTCCATAAAGATGTTGTTATGGGCCACTGCAGAAGAAAGGAGAACAACAGAGAAGGGGACTAAGAAACTGGCTCTGAGCCCCCATCTTATTTCATCAGTGCTGTTCTGCTTTCCTCTAGTTGTCTTATTTTGTTTCTTTGAAAGATGGTTTGATAGAATGTATCTGTTGCAGCTGGGCTTGCCTGTAATCCCGCGCTTTGGGAGGCTGAGGTGAGTGGATTGCTTGAGCCTGTGGGTTCGAGCCCCGCCTGGGTAACTTGGCGAGACCTCATCTCTACAACAAATCAAAAAAATTAGCCGGGCATGGTAGCGCACCTGTAGTTCCAGCTACTTGGAAGGCTGAGATGGAAGAATCGCCAGAGCCCAGAAGGTTTAGGCTGCGGTGGCTGGGAGCGTGCCACTG